ACCCCAAGCCCTGAACCCCAAACCCTGAACCCTAACCCTAAACCCTAAACCCCAAACCCTGAACCCCAAACCCTGAACCCTAACCCTAAACCCTAAACCCCAAACCCTGAACCCCAAACCCTGTTTTGGGGAACTAGTTGGAGGGTCGGGGGACTTAGTAAATGTTCATTTTATAGACTTATAAGTACTATAACCCCAATTAGGGTCCCTTTTAGGGTACTTATAAGTCTACTTATTACCTACTTACTAAGTCTCCCGACCCTCCATGTAGGCAAAATGCGACAACTCACCGGAGATTGAGCCTCTTCCACAGCGCGGCAGGTCACAGCCCTGTGCTCCTCCGCAAACCGACTTCTAGTGGGGGTTTAGGGTTTAGGGTTTAGGGGTTTAGGGTTTGGGGTTTGGGGGTTTCGGGTTTAAGGCGAGAGTTGAGGGTTGAGGGGTTTAGGGTTTAAGGCTAGGGTTTAGGGTTTAGGGTTTAGGGTTTAAGGCTAGAGTTTAGGAGGGTTCCTTTAAGGCCCGAGTTTAGGCTGTAGGGTTTAGGGGTTTAGGGTTTAAGGCTAGATTTTAGGGTGTAGGGTTTAGGGGGTTCCTTTAAGGCTAGAGTTTGGGGTGTAGGTTTTAAGGGGGTTCCTTTAAGGCTAGGGTTTAGGGTGTACGGTTTAGGGTTTAGGGTTCTAGGTTCCACAGGGGTACCATAGGGGTCCTGAGCCCTGAGCCCTAAACCCCAACCTGCACTACCGAAACCTTGAAACCCAAATCCCGAACCCCACAAATCCTAAGTCGAAGGAGTGGGGTGTATATGGTTCCGGGTCTGGGATAGTGATGGTAGGTGGAGCTATGTGAATCATGCATAGCCAGGCTAACCCGAGTTAGGGCCTCCATCACGGAGCAACTCACATACCCGCTAAGTGCCGCGATCCTTCCAGTACCCCTGAAGCATCTCAGAGCCTAACATGTCTGTACTTAATGGTAAAAATGGTCCGGGGGCTTCGGATGTCTGTGGGCGGGCTCAAATTTCAAGCCCCAAACATAGAGTGTAGAGTTTTGAAGGGGTCAGGGGACACGAACACGACGGCGAATAGGTTTCAAGTTTTAGACCAGACAAACCCTGAACCCCAAGCCCTAGACGGGTTTCAAGTCATGGCGCAAGCATAATCGCCACCTTGTGCGGAGTAATCTAGGGTCCCGGGTTTACGGCTTAGCACGACAGAGTAACCAGCCATGTGCTGCTCATGTAGGTTCAGGGTCTCGACAAAGCCCTCAACCCTAAACCCCTCAACCCAAAACCCTGAAAACAACCAATGAAAAGGCCTCAATAATTAGAATAGGGTTCCTTGCGGCTCCTTATTATAAATATAGTATCATGAGCCCCAAAACCCTAATCGAATGATTAAGGCCCCTACATTTTACATTAACCATAGGTATATGGGTTTAGGGTTTAGGGTTTAGGACTCAAAGCCAAACACGCCCGCCTCCACTTGGAGAACACCTTTGGCCTGGTGTCGAAGAATGGACCACTTTCTCTCCTTGCAAGCAGCAGTATATGGTTTAGGGTTTAGGGTCAGCAAAGCTCATGCTTTCTCTTGGGTGGTGTAGGGTTTAAGATTGTCTGAGTTTAGGGTTTAGGGTTCAGGCTTCAGGGGTTTAGGGGTTTTGGGGTTTAGGGTCTTCGGTTTAGGGTTAGGTTTTCGTGTCATACAGTCGCCAATAGTCTCTAGTCCCTGCTGGGGCTACCTCATAATGTAGGATCCTGAACACCAAGCCTACTATCACGGCGGCAT